ATAGGAAAAAAAAATAAAAAAGGCGGGACTCAACAAATTAACCTAAGAAACTTGTGACATCTGTGACATCTGTGACAGCTATCGAGAACGGGTTTTTTCGGACTCAAACTCTTAAGAACCCATCTTTCTATCAATTTTTTTACTTGAGATGAACTTGTGACAACTTGTGACACTTGTTTGAACTATATCTGTATACTCACTCACTATGTATTTTTTCCAAGTGCCTCAGATTTTTGTGTCATCTTCTCTAGCTTTTTCTGATGCCTATACTCTCTTCTACGATGTTTCTGTGTGTGAGGATCACAATAACCATAACCAGAAGAGGTAAACTTAACACAACCATATTCTTCACAAGGATAACGAATAGGTGAATCCCGGTAAACTTTGCACCCATTGGGATGATAACATGGTTGATTACAGACTTTTCCAGTCCTAAGAATATAGGGACAACGATAAAATGCCATTCTTTTTGATGTTTATCTTAATTGAGTATATAATATGTACCGATCAATATTCTTTAGAATTAATTTTCATTTTGAACTTTTTAATTCTGAATAATATAAAACATGAGTACCCAAAGTGAACATAACATGCCTATTGTACCCATATCATCCGATATACCAACCGTAAATAACCAAAATTTTGAGTCAGAGATGGAGAAAGACTTTTCGAGCCATTGCTGAGCAATAGAAAATAGCGGGGCGTTCTACCGCCGGGGCTTTAAAGCTTTTCCTCAATCACAGATTTCGGAAAGTAAGGAGAAAAGCCAGGCATTTTATTATAATAGAGAAGATTATTTACCAGTCGATCCAAGTCGTAATACGATAATCGCTAAAAATGATGACTATGGATCAACAGCGACTATTAATCGGGATTTAATTATTGGTAAAGATATCCTATTTATGTCTTGTGACATAAAGGAATATAATGAGTATATAAACAATATCCCATATTACATTTTACAACTTTATGGTTATCTTGTTAATAGTCAAAAAGCTGTAGTTACATTTTCTGGTATAAAAGTTTTCTTCGATATCCGTGTTCCTGATGACCAGAATATTAATATATTCAAAACTAGAATAAAAATATTATTGCCAATGGGAAAGATGACAAAGGGAAACTGTAGATATGACTGAATTTCGGACAGAACATATAAAGGCGTTTCCTATTCGCGGTTATTACAAAGAAAAAAAATCTTATATTTGTATTATTACAACTACTAGTAAACAAAGATCAATCGCTCTTAATATTATCCTAAAATATAATTCAGAAATCACATCATCCAATATAGATAAATCTAAGCTGGAAACTGCATCAGACGATTTGAGCGCATATTATCGAAAAGTTGCTAGAGAATATAGAATTCCACTCTCTAGATGGATTTTATTAACTAATTATGAATATAAT